CAGAGGGTGGGGTGGGAACCGGGTGGAGGGGAGCTATGGAGGGAAAAAAGAGGAACAACTGTAATAATCTGAACAATAAAGAATTAATTTTAAAAAAAAGAATTCTCTTCACCTCTCTCTATATATAATGATGTGCTGTTTTTTTTAAATGGTTCCTAATGCAACTCTTTATGTATCTGAATTGTTTATAAAGACTTTAAAATAATCTAGCAAATTTATTTACCCAATCCCCTGTTATTTAAAAAAAAAACAAACACTTTATAACCATAACTTTTTTCCTCTTCTGGAATTTTTCCTCAGGTTATATTTCCAGGAATGAAATTAGTATATTAACCCTTTGAGTGCCAACCAATATCTTAGGAACTATGCTAAAATTGCCAAGGCATTTTTGCTGATTTTACAGCAGTTTAGGAAAAAAATTATGAATCGAAAGTAAATGAAGTTACATATTCAATTTTAGAACTACAAACATTCGGCATCATAAGTAGGTGCCATCTGTCAATAAAGAGTGAACTACTAGCATCTAATAGTGACACTGCAGGAGGAGCAAGATAGCGCTCCCTGCACTTTTGGCGAAAAACAGGAGGAGCACGATCGTGCTCCTCGGCACTCTAGGGCAGTGATGGCGAACTTATGACACAGGTGAGCCAGTCACCTCTGACACGCGAACTCATTTTTTTGGTTGATTTTTCTTTGTTAAATGGCATTTAAATATATAAAATAAATATCAAAAATATAAGTCTTTGTTTTACTATGGTTGCAAATATCAAAAAATTTCTATATGTGACATGGCACCAGAGTTAAGTTAGGGTTTTTCAAAATGCTGACACGCCGAGCTCAAAAGGTTCGCCATCACTGCTCTAGGGGTTAAAGTATGTTTATTATGAAGATTTGTGTATGTACAGTGTGAGGATGGTCTCTCAAAAATGTGAAGCATTTATGCAGCCTCCAGCAGTTAAGAGAGTAACCAGCCTGGCCAGTGTGGCTCAATAGTTGAGCGTTGACCTATGAACCAGGAGGTCATGGTTCAATTCCCAGTCAGGGCACATGCCCGGTTACAGGCTCAATCCCCAGTAGGGGGTATGGAGGAGGCAGCTGATTAATGATTATCTCTCATCACTGATGCTTCTCTCTCTCTCTCTCTCTCTCTCTCTCTCTCTCTCTCTCTTCCTCTCTGAAATTTTTGAAAAAAAAGAGAGTGCCCATTTCCCACTCCCCTAGATAGTTTTTTTAAATTTATTTTCACTAATTTGATAAGAATAGTTAATAAAAATTCATAATTTTTGTTAATCCTCACCCGAGGATTTTTTTCCATTGATTTTTAGAGACAGTGGAAGAGAGGGAAAGACAGAGAGAAATGTCAATGTGAGAGAAACACATCGATTGGTTGCTTCCTACACGCCCCGGCCAGGGAGGAGCCTGCAACTGAGGTACATGTCCTTGACAGGAATGAAATCTGGGAGACTTTGGTCTGCAGGCCGACACTCGATCCAGAGCCAAACCGGCTAGGGCAATAATTCATAATTTTAAAATTTGTATTTCTTTAATTGCTAAAGAAACTAAGCTTATTTATTCTCCCTTCCTCCAATTACTAGTTTTATAATTTATCTTCATTGAAGATGTGTATATTTTTTAACCACTTGGGGTCACTATTTCTTTATCTTCAAAGGCTGCAACCAATCTGGCAAATCTATTTGGTGGGTATGTTAGTTTTTGTACTTTTCTACAAGTTTGAAAATTTCATAGTTTAAAAACAAACTGAAAGATTACTAATTCTTAGAATTCAGAACTGGTCTAAAAAAATGACAGCATATTCCTTCCACTCAACCTCCCTGTTCTATCAATCCTCCCTTGTAGACACTGTTTTTCATTTTGTCTGTGTATCTTAACACAGTGGAAAGAACTTAAGAATCAAGAAAACTGCATTATCATCCAACTGTTTGTGTACTTCCTGGAGCACCAGTTTTTCCAACTGTAAATACTACAGTTGGACTAGAAGACAATAGGGCTATTCCATATCTGAGGCTCTGCTGGGGCTCTGAACTCACTATACTAGTACATGTCTTAAAGCACCTACAACATCCTATATGGCAGAGCAGCTCTTAACCTAAGTCACAGTTTGCCAAGAGATTATAAATTTTTAGCAGGAAATTATCATATACATCTATATCTTGACTACAAAACAAGTCAATAAAGGTTTGTTGGAATAGGCTTAATATAACATAAAGTCTCAAGCACAAAAGCAGAATACACAGACCAATCTAAAAACAAGAGAACGGGTTGGGTGTTTATTCTTTCAGATTCTTTCCCAAACTGTTACTTTGTAAGCAGCTAACTAAGGTAAGTTATTAGTGCCAAGTAGAATAATCCACATTTATTTATTAACCAAAGTTGATAAATAATGCATATAAAATGCTAATACAGTGCCCAGCATACAATCAGTGTTATTAGTTCATCTTCCTCACCTTTACCAATAGGTAAAGCAGCTACACACACTCAAGTATCTCCTATCCAAAAATAACTTCCTCATACTTTTTCCTATGCCAAAATTTTACCAAAGATATAGTCATTTGGATCATATCAACAACAACAACAAAATCCAGTCTTAGAAGGTTCCATATGAAAATGTGAGAAGCACTGGTAAGGTAACACCTTTTAAGTTACTGCCTGCTAATTCATTAGGATAATTAGTGCCAGGTCCTTTCTAATTAATAATGAGTAGATTAGAAAGCATCAAGAGAAAAATGAAAAGAATAAAAAACCAGAATGGAAAAAACTTCATAAATGAAACCAAAGAAAACCAACATGTTTGGTCTAAGCTCCTCACCTTGAGAGGAATCATTTGTAAGAAACTTAAATCTCACTTCACACACACACACACACACACACACACACACACACACGGAAAAACTAAAAAAGAAAATTCATTATTTCAGTAAACCAAAATGAGTAAGCCAGCACAGTGATGATAAAGCACTGAGTTTACCTGGGAAAAGAATGAAACCAGTAACCCAGAAAAGAGTATCTCTTAAAAAGAAAAAGGAGTCTGACAAGATGAAAAGTTCAGAGTGGATACAGAATTTGGCCATCACTAATTGCAGGATGATCAAACTTTATTTGCCTCCTTGTAGGAAATGATACAAAACGAGTAGCATCATCTGTGACATTTTCTTGCGAAAAATGTTTAAGCAGATCCTAATCAAGCCATTAGACCTACCTTCCAGTTTACAGGAAATATAGAGGCTATAGAAAAACAAACTAATGCCATGATCAATAAATCAAACAAATCCAGAATATGTGACATTCTACAAAAAAAAATTTATAGTCTTTACAAAGATAAATACAAAACAGTTCATGTACTCAGAAAGGGGGCAATTTATAAGTAACTACAAAACGAAATGGAATCAAATATATCTTTAGGTTATAGGTATTCTGAAAGCAAAACAGGAGATTATTTTTAATGACTATAATTTACATATAAAGAAGGAATCTCCTAAGTGGTCTCAATAAATATATAAATTATACATTCCTATATTTAGAACAGAAGAACAAAATTAAGTAGACACAAGGCATCTTATAACTTTATTTATCATTAATTGTAGTTTCAAAGATCTCCATAAAATTATAAAATATCATATTAAAAATATATTACCTTTGTCCTAGATTGAACTTGTTCTTTACAGATGAGGCATTTCTTGACTCGTGGAGAACATAAAGAACAGGTAGCAATATGTCCACATGGGCCAAAAAGAGTATCTCTCTTCATATCTGAGCACACCATACACTCTTCTAAGGTTTCAGAATCATTACTAATCATAGAAGGACTTCGAGAACCCACTTGACCACTAATAAAAAAAAATATTTCAAATCAAGCGTATCAGAATATTTATATTACAAATTCAATAGTTAAAATGGTTTTTAAAAAATCTAGAGCATCATTAGTATATATAAAAATAGCTTTAGTTGTTAAAAAATTAAGCATCTGTATATGAAAAACTGTATACTATATTTTTCTATTTTATATACATCTCTGCATCTTCACCTATTTGTAGTACTATTTGAAATACAAATTGAACAAGTTCTCACACATTGGAAAACGGTGAATCCAAATCTTCTAACACAGAAATAAAAATCACAAGTTAAAAATTTCGCATAAACAGTTTCACTCAGAACTTGTTTTGCTTATGTAGAACCAGCCGAGAAAGGTATAAGAATAAAAAGAAAATCCTAACTAGAGTCCATGTTAGTTATCCTAACTACAGACAGGAAGAAATGAAGCATCTATAAAGTCCACAACTGACAAGGGCACTTGGAAAATAAGTCACTGCAGCTGCTGTTCCAACATTTCTTTAATTGTATCCTTAGGGAGCAAAAATTCTATTATAGGAAGACAATGCAGCTATACATATAAAGATACAAGACATAGAAACACATGTATATGAACAACTACAGTCTTCAGAAACTCATGAAATGCATCCGCACACCAGCGCATGCACACACACACAAACACACACACACACAAAGCAGTTTCATCTTAGAGCTCAGTCTTAAACTTATTACTGCAGTAATTATAGTGCCTTGTATCTATATGTTTTAGATTCATTCTGTCATCCTATAATAGAATTTTATGCCCCTTAAGGTTAGACTTAAAGAAATGTACATAACTCATTATATTAATTTCCCTATAACACTACTTTATGCATGGATTCCAAAGAGATGTCTTTTCATCACTACACAAGTTATAAGAGAGGCAAGAGAGTAGAGAGAGCCCAAAGATCAAGGGACAACTCCTGAAATGTTCAATAACAAGAAAGAGGTATAAAGGGCAATTATAGTTGTATAGCATCATTTGGATGAAAAACTAATGAGATGTACCTTTTGTATGACTATAATTTGAATAAGAAATTTAGTTGTTATCATAAATAATTAAAATCACCAACACATTTTACTTTTAGAAAAGAAGGCAAGTGTGAAATGATCATTTTTTTAAAAACTCCATCAGGAAGTGGTTCATTCATTTGTTTAATTTTTCAATTCTTCAATGATACTTACTGAGTGCCTATCAGGCACTGTGCAGGGTGCTAGAATATTAGAGTTTGTGTGAGATATATTCTGTTAGCAAGTAAACTGCCTTTCTTTCCTAGAGTCTATTAAAATTTTAAATACACATAACATTAATCACAGCAATTTCACTAGTGAGAATTTTTCTTATAGACAAGTTTCTCTAACATACAGGAGTACTGGAAGATTAGACTGGCTTAGAAAAGTTTCTTAAATTTATTATTCATAAAGTATTATCCTATATAACAGCGGTTCTCAACCTGTAGGTCGCGACCCCTTTGGTGGTCGAACGACCCTTTCACAGGGGTTGCCTAAGACCATCCTGCATATTAGATATTTACATTACGATTCATAACAGTAGCAACATTACAGTTACGAAGTAGCAACGAAAATAATTTTATGGTTGGGTCACAACATGAGGAACTATATTTAAAGGGCCAGAAGGTTGAGAACCTCTGCTATATAATAAAAGGCTAATTAATATGCAAATCAACTGAATGGCAGAACGACTGGTCGCTATGACGCACACTGACCACCAGGGTGCAGACACTCAACCCTGGAGCTGCCCCCTGGTAGTCAGTGCACTCCCACAGGGGGAGCACCACTCAGCCAGAAGCTGGGCTCATGGCTGGCGAGCACAGCGATGGTGGCGGGAGCCTCTCCCGCCGCCTCCGCGGCAGCGCTAAGGATGTCCAACTGCCAGCTTAGGCCCGCTCCCCCTGGGAAGCGGGTCTAAGCTGTCAGTCGAACATCCCCCGAGGGCTCCCGGACTGCGAGAGGGTGCAGGCCGGGCTGATCCCCTCCACCCCCCCCCCCCCGCGAGTGCATGAATTTCGTGCACTGGGCCTCTAGTATTTAATAACGTAGAGAATACAACATAAAATAAGAGACATGATCTCTATAGGAAAATTTTTTAAGAAAGGGCCAACACAAAGATAGAGGAATAGCATGATGTATTATAGAATTGTACACCCGAAACCTACATAATTTTCTTAACCAATGTCACCCAATAAATTTAATTTAAAAAGAAAAAGGAAAAAAGGTAGAGGAAGAGCAAAGACAAGGGCATTTTCAAGTAGTCTGTTATGAAACTACATGATACCTTATGCATAAAATATCAAGTTTTATGATAATATATAATACAAACCTGACTTTTTCTTTATGACATTTTGCCAGTGCTTTACAGAGACTTGGATCAGGACAGAGATCAAGTGGTGATTGACCCTTCTTATTTCGAATGCTAAGGTCAGCACCATTAGCAGCCAAGAAACAGGCAATAGATGCTGCACTCTTCTTCTCTGCCCCCTGGGTACCAAGTCCCATTATTAACTGAAATCAAATGAAAAAAGAGTCATTATTTTCTCTTTATCAATTCCTACCACCAATATAGGGTGGGAAAAAGTAGGTTTACAGTTGTGAATATGTGAAACACAGCTAATTCTTGCATTATTATTTATTATTATATTATTTCCCTTAAAAACTACTGTAAACCTACTTATACCCCACATATATAATGTGTATATAGAATATGTACATACAAATTCATACATGTACACGCATATGTGTGTGTTATATATAAAGATGCATGTCTGGTAAGAATTTACAGGTCATATAAATATGGTGGACATTGATAAGTTGCAGCCCTAATATCCATTCCCCCTTCCCCTGTAGCCCCACTTTTCTCAGGCATATAGTTTGAGGATTGGCATACTCTCCAATTTAGAGGTGGACCATGATGGATCAAACCAGTCATAGATATCAACCTGTCTGTGTGATTAGTTCAGGGATGACACATAACCCAAGTCAGGTCAATTAAGGCCAATAAAACTCAAGAACAGGACTTCTGATTGAGATGCTAAAGAAACAGTACTTTCTTTCTTTTGGTTCTGGAGCTACTAGGAATCAACTTGAAACAATAAGGGGAGAGACAAGTAAGAAAAGAACCAGTACCTAGGAATTAAGCCAAGAAATGGAGAACAAAACAAATCAGGTTCTGTTATCATCTAACTATTGACTCAAACATCTTACCAGAAAACAGTCATAATAATTGTTAACATTTACAAAGTGTCTACAATGAACCAAGAATTATTTTAAGCACTTTCCATAAATTAATTTAATCTTCATAACCTTATAGAGATAGTTATTCCCTTTCCCTCATTTTAAAATGAGAAAAATGATGCACACAGGAGTCAGAGCAGCAATTCTCAAATACTTTGGTCACAGAACCCCTTTACATTCTTAAAAATGAATCTCAAATTCATATGGGAAGGTGAAGGACTTAGGATAGTCAAACAACTTTGGAAGAAAAAAGTTAGAGGTTTTATACTATCTTATTTCAACATTTATTATAAAACTACAGTAATCAGCCCGGCTGGCATGGCTCAGTGGTTGAGTATTGACCTATGAACCAGGAGGTCACAGGTTCAATTCCCAGTCACGGCACATGCCTGGGGTTGCGGGCTCGATCCCCAGTAGGGGGCATGCATGGCAGCCGATCCATGGTTCTCTCTCATCATGGGTGTTTCTATCTCTCTCCCTCTCCCTTCCTCTCTGAAATCAATAAAAATATATTTGAAAAAACAAAAACAACAGTAATCAAGACAGTGGGCTGGTATCACATAGCTAAAGACAATAGTTCTAAACATCATACATCAACAGAACAGAATATCAGATTCAGAAAGACTTCACATACATGGTTAAAATTGATTTTGGATAAAGATACAACAGGTGATTCAGTACAAAATGACAGTCTTTTCAACAAACAGTGCTGGAATAACTGGATATCCACAAGCTGGGAGAAACCATGTGGATATCACATACCTGATTAAAAAAACTTGCATTCAGATTATATAATAACTATCAAAACTCAATAGTAAGAAAACAGCTCAACAAAATAATGAACAAATGGTATGAACAAACATTCATCAAACAGATGTGGGTGGCAAAAAAGCCAAAGAAAAGATGTTTGATATTAGTAGTCACTAGGGAGATGACTTTCAGTGGTACTGAATTAAAGATTATCTCTACTCACTGTGTTTTTGGATGGCTCCCAGGCAGCATCGACCTTGCCCACATCTTGCATATCCTGGAGCTGACGTAGCTGAGACAAGGTGTGATGCCTCAGAGCTTCATGCAAAGGAGTATCCCCATCCTTATCCTGAATATCTAATTTGGCACCAGCACGGACCAAAAGCTAAAAGAGAAAGACATCTCATTTTGCTAAAGTATCCCCACCCACAAGAAATTACAACATATCTAAAGCAATAGTGAGAGAGCCCACCTGGAGGAGCTGCCATTAGTAATTCTTACGTATTTGCTTGCTACTACTCTATAACCCTGCGGCTCCTTACAAATAGTGATGATTCTGGGTATCGAATTAAAGAAAACAAAGAAATGAGAACCAATACATTGTTTAATTCATCTACTCTAAGATCAAAATAACTAGAGAAATTTTAGGACTTTTTTTCCTTTTAATTTCAGACATGTGAAGTGGGATATTTTAAGTACTTCTAATAGGACCAAATAATAATGTTCAAAATTATTCTATTATTTAAACAAATAAGGAGAAGTTATTTTTTATTCCATTCTCTTTGATCAGTTTTCTCCAAATGTATGCTCATAGGGAAGTCCAAATATCATAGATAAATTAAGAATTTTTAGCAAGAGGAATTTTAAATAACAATAAATGTGAAGTGTTTGCTAAACTACAACATAAAATGCAGAGTTGATATATTTCAATAGACATTTTAAGTAGTAAATATAACTTTAAGATTTTGCTTGTGGTGCTTTAACAATTTTCATAATCCTTTCTACAAATGCTATCAGAGTTTTCGAAAACCAGCATACATAGAAACCAATCTCAAGCATATAGTCTTACTTATCTTGGCAAATGGTTTTTTTATTTGTTTGTTTTTATTTGTTTATTTTTGTTAATTCTCGCCCAAGGATATTTTTCCATTGATTTTGAGAGAATGTGTGGAAGTGAAAGGGAGAGACAGAGAGAAACATCGATGTGAGAAAGACACATCAATTGGCTGCCTCCCAAACACACCCCAACTAGGGCGCCAGGATAGAACCTGCAACCAAGGCACATAATCGATCCTGGGACCCTTCAGTCTACAGGCTGAAGCTCTACCCACTGAACAAAACCGGCTAGGGCTTGGCAAATTGTTTTTATTTGTTTGTTTGTTTTTACTTTGCTTCAAAAAGATCACATACAATTTCATTCCAGGGCAGTGTTTCTCAAATTTGAACGTGTATCAGAATTACCAGGCTTATTAAATCAGATTGCTGCCAGTTCCCACCCCTGGAAGTTCTGATTTGATTGGTATGAGGTGGGGCCCAAAAATCTGCTTTTCTACTAAGGTCACAGGTAACAACGCTGATGCTACTGGTTCAGCCTCCACACTTTAAGAATCACTGCCCTACCAAAAAAATTTTTAAAAGATAATCTTTCAAATATTTTGTCTAGAATCACCAGGTTAATAAAATAAAAACCTTTTATTTGGAATCAATGCAGCAAACATCCAGCCAAAGTTTTAAATTATAATTCAGTCTCAATTATATAAATTAAGAGGGAATGTACTTTTTAAAAACTAATTTATAAGCTACTTTGAAATTCTTTGATTTAATATTCTGGGAATTCACAAATCTGGCAACAAAATTATAAAAACTTTAAATATCAGAGTTTTAAGATATTCCCTACTATAAATTAAACTGATATAAAATAGTCTAAAATCATAACTTTTACATATAACTCTGCCTTCTGAGAAATCTAACAATGTGTTACTTAAATTTCCAAAACATTCTAGAAATCTGTCTAGTTAAACTACAACTGCAAACTAAGATTCATGTTAGTAAGCACTTTACCCTAACAATCTGGGTGTGCTGTCGTTCAACAGCAAGATGGAGGGCCGTTTGTTGGTTCACATTCTGGATATCCAGGTTTGCATTACCCTGAAAAACAACAACAAAGTTTTTATAGTTAAAATTTGACAACACTGGGGACTAAAAACCAATGGAAAAATATCTTTGGGTGAGGATTAACAGAAAAAAAAAGTAACGTGCAAAACTGCCTCGCACAATGTCTGGCATAATAAAAAATAGGAAATTAAGAAAAGGGCTACAGGTTCAAAAGATTAGACTTTATCATCCTGTTTGTATTAGAATCATTCATGCTCTCTGATTACAACTCTGATACCCAACTGTGCCCTTCCTTGAAGCATCAAGCAGAGCTGAAACTCCAGTAATGCTATGACTGTGAGGAATTTCCTTTTCAAGTTTCCTGAACTTTTCCATCATTTAGATTTTTCAAAGTAGTAAGTATGCACTGTATGGATGTACCATAATTTGTTTATCCGGCACCAGCTGATGAACATTTGGCTTGCTTCCACTTTGAAACTATTATAAATAAAGCTGCTACAAATATCTGTGTGGAAATGTGTCCTTAGCTCTCTTGGGTACATACTCAGAAGTGGAATTGCTAGTTGTATAGTGAAATATGTTTAACCTTATAAGAAACTGTTTTTTAAAATGGCAGCTTTGAAAAAACACCAGCAATGTTCGTGTATTCTAATTGTGCCAACTCCTAATCAACACTTGGTTTTTCTGGACTTTTTAATTTTAATCATTGTAGTTGATAATTAGTAATATCTCAATGTGATTATAATTTATTTCCCTAATGACCAATGGTAATTTAAGCAATGTCACAGGATATATGATCAATATACAAAAAATAATTGTATTTCTATACACTAACAATATACAAAATTGAAGTTTTAAAACAATATAATTTATGTCAGGCTAGTGTGGCTCAATGGTTGAGCATTGACCCATGAAACAGGAGGTCACAGTTCAATTCCCGGTCAGGGCACATGCCTAGATTGCGGGCTCAATCCCCAATTGGGGTGTATAGGAGGCAGCCGATCAATGATTCTCTCTCATCATTAATGTTTCTATTCCTCTCACTTCCTCTTTCTGAAATCAATAAAAACATATTTTTTTAAAAACAATACAATTTACGATAGCATCAAAACTTAAAGATAAAACTAATATCTATGAGAGCAATCAAACTCCCAGAAAGACTTTTTAAGAGAAACTAATAATCTGATTCTAAAATACATATGGACATTCAAAAGATCGAGAATATTAAAGCAATTCTGAGAAAGAAGAACAAAGTTAGAGGACTTACTCTAACTGATTTCAAGTCTTACTACAAAGCAACAATAACAAAGATGGTGTGTTATTGGTCTGCCATTTGGATTAGGATAAAAAAGAACATATTATAATTAACAATACTTCTAAAAGAATTTTAATAATAAAGGCTTAAAATGTCAGGGGAAAGGTAGTTTAACTTTTGAACTATTTCTTTATCTACTTGTGTAGTTTATCTAAACTTGTATAGTTTATGGAGGATCTACCTTATAATCTAGGATTTAATTGCACATAATGTGCTCTCTCCTAAATTTTTCTGCTGTTGCATCTTCTTAACTTGACTCCTTGAAGTCAGGGATCACAGATAATTTTTTAATAACTTCAGTGCTTCTATACAGCATATACTTGATTGAAGCATTTTTAATATTTTGCTGAATATACTAAAACATTATAAACTAAAATAAATAGGTCCCAAAAAAATTCAGTCATAAAAAGTTAAGTTGTCTTATTTTGGAAATGAATGAAATGACTAAGGTGAGTGTATCAGCTATCCAGCCACACATTCCACAGGTCCAGCAGCAATCATGAATTGAACCCCCAGATCCTGGCTATAGCCTGGTGTTACCTGATGGCAACTGGCCACATCAGCTTAGATATCAAATGATGGTTCTTGGTCCTGTGGCTGACTGACATTTCCACAACAGTGGCAGTAGTTCTGGGAAATTCCTTGTAGTTTTGCTCATTTCATTGGACCAATCCAGGAAGACTGTGCAGAGGGAACACTGGGGACTGAGGGACACACAAGCACACCTTTCCCTCCCTTTAATAATCAGTGTTAGAAGGCTGAATGTGTACTATTTCTGAATGTGCATCATCATGGGATTTTACTGTAGCACACTAATAGGTAGCTGATGAACTAATAAATAAATGAATGACAATGGTCTAAAATTGTTAAAAATTATTGAATTGCTTTTCCTACCTGATGTACCAATAATTCAGCCACTTCCACGTGATTATTAAGGGCAGCCAGATGCAAGGCAGTATAACCATCATCTTTCTTCTCATCCACAATCCATGGTCTTGGTAATTTAGATAGTAAAACACGCATTGCACTGAAAGTCAAAATTATGTTATTTTTATATTTACATAATTTGATATTTAATTAGTTTTTTTGAAAAAATATTCAAAAAACCTTTGAAGTCAAATGAAAATATTCCTCTTTAAAGAATATTATGCACAGACAAAAAAATTTCAATTTTTCTAAAACTCAAATGTACAGAATTCTAATATTTTAAGAAGTAAACAAACTGTTACTAACTAAAAAACAGAATCAAAATAGAATGGGAGTGCTATAGAGAAGAACCATGAGAGACTAAAAATACCAAAGGGTTAAAAAATATACCCTAATAAGGATAACAATTTTGATTTGTGGAATCTCTTAGCTTCAATTTGAATAGTATATACTAGTGGAAGAGTTAATAAAAAACAACTAAGTAACAAAAGTACCAGTGCCAAAAAAATAGTAATAATAATTGAAACAAATTTTATGTAGCTTGAAGATTAACATGAACTCTGCAGAGAGAGTTAACAATCTATGTCATTTAGTAGTGCTAAAACCAGCTGATGTCAAAACACATAAAATGGGTCATTATAATCTAATATTTGAAATTTAAGAATCAGAAACAAGTTATTTCCAAAATAAAAAAGGCAGTTATCCTAAAGAGCACCAAAGATCTATATATATAAAAGGCTAATATGCAGTGTCCCCTTGGAAGTTCGACGGGAAGAGCAGGAGTTCAATCATTCGCTATGACATGCGCTGACCACCAGGGGGTGACACCGAACAAAGGAAGGCCCCAGCTGGCAACCGGCAGCCAGGGAAGGAAGGATCCAGCCAGCAGCCAGAAGGTCCCTATCAGCCCTGATTGCCGGCCGGGCCTAGGGACCCAACCCATGCACGAAATTCGTGCACTGGGCATCTAGTTAAACCATAAAAGAGCTGGAAAGCTAATTATCAAGAAATGATGCTTCTTAGAGAAAAGTAAGCCCATCCTCCCCAAAGAAAAGTAAAATTAGAAGCAACTTTTCCTGCCATATACATCAGTAACTTTTCTTAACAGAAATGTTTTATGTGGAAAATTCATAATATAATTTGGAGGAAAAAAATCTTCCTTAACATATTTACCCAGTAATTGTTCTTTAATTTATTTTGCTTTTTTTTTTTGCAATTTTATATTCTATTTTTTAATTAAATTTATTAGGGTGACTAGTTCACAACACCATACAGGTTTCAGTTTTACAACTCAATAAAAAATCATCTGAACACTGCATCGTGCATCAGTTAAGTCTCTTTTTGTCCCGATTTTCCCTTCGTTTGCCCACTTCCACCTAGCCCTAACCCCACTTTTCTTCTGGCTATCACCACACTGTTGTCTGCGTCTATATGCTATAAATATATGTTTTTTTGCTTAATCCCTTCATCTTCTTTCATCCAGTCCTCGTCAGTCTGTTCTCTGTATCCATGAGTCTGTCTCCACTTTGGTTGTTAGTTTATTTTGTTCATTAGATTCTACATATAAGTGAGATTATATGATATTTGTCTTTCTCTGACAAGCTTATTTCACTTAACATAATGATCTCCAAGTTCATCCATGCTGTCAACAAAAGGTAAGATTTCTATGTTGGTGTGTTGTTTTTACGGCCAGTAATATTCCATTGTGTATAAATGTTCCACAGCTTTTTTATCCACACATGTACTAATGGGCACTTGGGCTGTTTTCAGATCTTGGCTATTTGGAAAAAAATTTCCCTTAACATATTTATCCATTAATTTTTCTTTTTTAAGACTATAACCTAAGATAACTGCTCCACAGCTAAAAAGGCAGTAAACACAGGAAATAAAAGCTTTTAAAATTGTACCAATAGGGTATAAAAGGTAAAGAAGTAATAGTAAGATATATATTACCCAGGTGATATCCTATATAATAAAAGCCTAATATGCTAAGTATTCAGCCGGCCATTCAACCAATCAAAGCATAATATGCTAATGATATGCTAAGGCCACTCAGCCACTCACTATGACGCACACTGACCACCAGGGGGCAGTCGGCCAGTCGAACAGTCACTATGACGTGCACTGACCACCAGGGGGCAGATGCTACAACTAGTAGGTTAGCTTGCTGCTGGGGTCTGGCTGATTGGGACTGAGCAAGATGGGTCAGGCATGCCCTGCAGCTCTCCTGTAGTCCCTCTCTGGCTGGCCAACCTCCCGCATCCCTCCCCGGCCCCAGTCATGCACCTGTGGGGTCCCTCTGCCTGGCCTTCACCCTCACGCAATCCGGGACCCCTCAGGGGATGTCAGAGAGCCGATTTTGGCCCAATCCCGCAGGCCAGGCCGAGGGACCCCACTAGTGCACAAACTTGTGCACCAGGCCTCTAGTATGTGAGATAAAAATTTGAAATAGAGAAATGTCAGAAACGTATAGAGAAACAGTCTGAAGGTGCAGAATATGTGTAAATGAAACTGATAAGTCTCTAAAATAATGAGACTAAGGCCTAATATGAGCCAGAACATGTTTCCTAATGGCAGTGGTTTATGAATCCCATATAGCAAGTCCAAGAAGTCTGAGAACAAGTTTTGGAAGATCCAAGAACCTCAAAAATTATACCCCAATTTGAAAATTTATAGCTTTTCTCAGATTTTAAACAGTTTTATGATCCAAAGTATAATGAGAATCACAGCTTAAAAACACCCTTCAGTGGCTGTACTGAAGTTACAATCATTGTTCAGGCACGACAGACTTCTTTAGAAATCTATGGAAAGCTTTGGACTCTCCTACCATGAGAAATTCACACAAAAATCTTAACCTATAATTTTGAGTCTACAAACCCCTAAATCACATTCATGAACCTCATAAAAGCTAAGTTTTCCTACTTTAGTTTGCTTTCAATAATTAAAGGATTCTAATCCTCCTCATTCAGTGGATTCAAACAAAATACTAGATATTCTGTAGACTTTGACTCAGATTCTTAATGAGGAAAAATATTAGTATAACATCACACTACTTGAATGTTCAGATTTGAATAATCATGATACTAATGCCATACATTGTCTGTTACTCTACACATTTGGCTATGTGAGAAACAGGATTTATTGGAGTTTTACGATTCTTGGACAATTTTAAAGATGTAAGTATTAAATCATGTGAAAAAAGCTTTATTAAAAATAAAATGTATTAAAAAATAATGTAAATACATTAATTTAAAGAAAATAGTGATATAAATTAAGAAATTATAGGATAAGTTATTTGGGGGGGGGACACAAAGAAATGAAGAGAAATAAAAGCAAAAGACAGTTCATCTTCATTACAAGCTTTGTGGTAGTATTTGACTAAAATATGTATGTATGTTAGTTTGATCCAAAAAATTTTTAAGTTAAAACACTAAGATAATATTTAGGCTTACTATCTTAAAAATTTTAATTTGTGCCCTAACCGGTTTGGCTCAGTGGATAGAGCGTCGGCCTGCGGACTGAAGGGTCCCAGGTTCGATTCCAGTCAAGGGCATGTACCTTGGTTGCGAGCACATCCCCAGTAGCGGGTGTGCAGCTGATCGATGTTTCTCTCTCATGGATGTTTAAAAAAAGAGCCATAGTGAACAGCTTTCGGAGCTGGGGGTCGGAGGCCTCTCCCCCTTCTTCTCTGTAAAAAATCAATAAAATATATATATTTTTTAAAAATTTTAATTTGCAACTTTACCCTGGTAGGCAAGATATATAAATGTTACAAGTTTTAAATTAAAAAGTGTGGTTCATATTAATTCCATCAAGTTTTTATTAAGTCACATTATTAAACATTCTCTATATTCCTGAGAAGTTGGTTCTTATGGAACCATGTCTCCTACTACCTCCCATTCTACTAGTCGTTTCAGAAGTACATTCCCATGTTACACTGCCGATAGCTCAAAGGAAGAAAACTAAGAGGAGTGACTTCTCTTCTGAACATAAGGTGTCTGCTGAGATGGAGCTGAAGATGTTCACTTCAGCTCCTTAGTTATTTAAGAGGAGACTAGTGTTACGCTGCAAGCACCGAGGCCCATAGAGTTGCTGGGATGAGAGTGGTACCGGTTCAATAAGTCAATTAATTTTATTAAGCCAATAGACCCGCACTTGCGGAGCATAGTATATGAGATATTGAGATATTTTCCTTAATGCTCAAGCACTCTTTTGTACTTCTCAATCTGGTTGTTTTCCAAGAAGTTAAGGACATGGATGGTTTAAAGATAACATCTTACTACCAGTTAAGCAGGCATTTGTGAATACTGCCAAAGAAGCATTAAGTTCCGGAACAACTAATAGTGGAGCCTAGCATAATCCCTGGCACATGGTAATACTCAAACGTTTGCTGAATGATGAACAAATGAGTTCTGAGAAGCAGAGGGGACAAGCAGCTGTCTGCAGTGGTATGTGATAGTCAAATGGCTCTGGGTCCATTTTTAGGGCTTGCCATGCTTTGCAATCTATCTTCAGAGATAGGCAACATTTTTCCAAACAAACCATAGTTAAACTGTGAAGGCCTTACATATTAGTATTACTTAATATAAAAAGACTTTAGAATAGCACTACAGCACATATTAGGTGTTCAATAAATGCTTGCTAAGTTATTATTGCTAATAAACAATCCCTCAAATAATAGTTAAAGCATATTAGTCCAGAAACCATAAAGGAGCTTATTAAGAAAGCTGATCAATACCAAGAAGTTCTTTTGGTTCTTTTTCATTCAGAGAAGTCCAACACATACCCTTCTCTGAATGGACACAGACAAGTCTAGGAGGGTATATACCAAATGCTATCCATAGTAATCAATTTAAATTAATATGAATGGTTTTTGTTAGGTTAGACAGGTGAAAGAACTACAGAGAATAGGCGTTACTTAAATGTTTTTTAAATTCTGTTTTTGGTGTGTTTTTCCTACAAATTCTTTTTGACAGATACTATAATTTAAAGGTTCATTATTTTAGCTTAAATTCATTAATTAGGAATTTGGTAGTGTAAAATTTAGTTCAAAATGAGAAAGATATACAATGACAATATAGGCTGCAGAAGAGGTAAGTTCTTGATCACTCTTAAACTAAAGACACTAAAATGATCTCTTAGGTGACTAGTGAGTCCTTATTTCTCCTTTTTTGTTTTGTTTTGTTTTGTTGTTAATCCTCAAAATGGATATTTTTCTATTGATTTTTAGGGAAAGTGGAAGAGAGAGGAAAAGACAGAGAGAAACATCAATATGAGAGAAACACATTGGTTGCCTCCCCGGGAGGAGCTTGCAACCAAGGTGTGTGCCCTTGACCAGAATCAAATCTGGGACCCTTTGGACCACAGGCTGACACTCTATCCACTGAGCCAAACCAGCTAGGGCTTATTTCTCCTTCCTTGCAATAAGCAAGGAACCCCATTTTACTTATCTTTATATCTCTTTTGTACATGTAGGATAAGAAGGTCACAGTTTTGTTGAATGGAACAAACAGTCAAGTAAACAATCATCTCTCTGAATATACTGAGGGAAGGATATTAGCAACATTGTATTTTTGGTGTATGTTCCAGTCCCAAAGAGTATAATTCACTAACTGATTTCATTATTACAATATAGAGCAGTGGCAAAGAATAGTGGTGAAGAGCTTTGGGAGTCTGTAGCCAAACTATCTGGGTTCAAATTCTAGCTGTAGCAAACTGAACAGCTGGTGACTTGAGTAGTTTACTTAACTTCTATGCCTCAGTTTCCTCATCTATAAAATGTGAGAATCACAAAGCCTATCTCATAGGGCTGTTATGAAAATTAAAAAAGGGTTTTGAAGAATTCCTGACACTTAATACATTATATGTGCTTGCTGAAAAAAAGGGGGGGAGGGGGACTTTCACTGCTACAAAATGGTTAACAAATCTAGGGTAATTTAGAAACCTGAAAATTACCCCATCTTACAGTCTGAGACATGTGTCACCTTCTCACAGTATGTGTAAAATTACTTCAATAACTATGAAAGCTGGCTCTTTAAATTTAGCAACTATCTACATAAGCTTGACTGTTATGGTATTAAATGTTAAAGACAAAAACAGTGTGAAGGACAAACTTCCCTTGTAAGAGAATGAACTTAGAAAACTGATAATGGTTTTTCTTGATTCTTAAATGAATCAATACTTAAATTAAGAACAAGGCATAGTTGGTTTCTCTTGGACATTTTTAGGTTTATAAGATCTTAAATTTTATCTCCATAGGTTTGTTGGATTTAATGTTCTAATATTTTTTCTCCTTAGTTAAAAAATAAATTTCAATGTTAAAATTTATTGTGAATATGGTATTAAAATTTAGAGCAAAAGTATTTTTCCTTTGAGACATATGCTATGTGCCAAAGTTATATATAGGTTAATGACTATTTTAGTCTGTAATAAAATGTGAAATGATCATGCCTAATGCTGTTGCACAAAATTAAAGAAAAATGGTGATGCAGAAGGGAGAAAAACACCACTTAACATTTGAAAATGAAATAGAATTTAATTAATAATAAAATGCATGTTAATAGTTATATATGTATATATGGTTTTAATACAGAAGTACACAATTACTCAAAAGCATCCCTGACCCTGTTTTTCACAAAAGCACTACAAAAAAAAATTAGATAAAAATTGACACAGAATTAAAAGTTTTAAGTAGCACTTCCAAAATTTCATTTACACACTACTCCCTTCTTCCTTAATGATCTTTCTCCACCTTCAATATACAGGTTCTACTTACCATTTCTACGTATTTTCCATTCAAATATTATTCATTAAATTTAAAGAGTATGTATAGCAAAAACTAGCTCTCAAGATAATACTACGAAATCCCTTCAGGCCTCTAAGTATGCAAAATATCATTATGCATAATATTTTTAACCAACAAAAATTCAGGTTATGAAATATAATTTGAGAGCACAGATATTCTATTTGTTCCATATCTGTCTAAAGACTGTCTTGCTACTAGCTAGGGTAATATTTTTCCTCTTTCCTATTTTCTCTGCAGTGCTTCTAAGTATAGTGACAGCCGCATCAGGCTTTCCCAGTCTCAGCGCAAGCTCAGTGAATATCTGGGAAATGTAAGTGGAAACATGAGAGACCGCTTTATTTGGCAGTGCTTAAGAAAAAAAAAAAAAAAAGGCAGGACAAATGGCAAAGCAGTGTTTGGACCGCAGGATGAACAATCAATAGGCAGAAAGCAAGATAGAGGCTTCCTCAGCTTTTGGATCGACAATCGACAGCTGGGAGACTATTTTTTGCTATGGTTGACTAAATATGGTCAGGGAAGAGAGAGGCACAAGAGAGCCTGTTTGCCTGGGAGTGCATGTTTCAAATGCTTAGCTGCCTATAAAGCTGTAACAGTTTAGCCTGTAGCCACTGAGGGAAGAATTTAAGTTAACATCTGTAGTGACCATGTGGAAATCCTGACCTTGCTTGCAGACTTGACCTCTGGATATGACAAGGTAGCTTCAATACAGATTTACCATTTACTCCTGGAAATGAAACACCAAAAAAAAAAATCTCATAGCAAGAAAGATGCAGAATTATTTCCTAAGAAGTCAGAAGAACCCAATGTATTCTGGTGGGCAAAGGAAAATAGTATGAATGTTTATGGTTAGTTGGGAGAGTGAGGTGTGTTTTGTTTTTTGGCTTTCCGGCTGTTTTAGATTATAAAATTAACTTGCTCTGCAACTTTTCCCCCTCTTCCGAAGCATTTCATCTGAGAAATAAGAGAGGTTCAGTATCTTGGACGTTGTAGCAACCTTCCTTGCTTGCTTAACTTTCTGTACAACAGATACAAGCTACTCATATCTGTGCAATACTGGTAATATAACATTCCAAATCAAATAGCCAGTATTGATTAATTTTTTCTGTGGTTTATTTCTTTTTAAGGGTAAAGGAAGGAAGAAGGAAAAGATGGCTGACTTATTTTTGTTTGTTCAATTGTTTTTCAAATTTATCTTAAAAGGTGAGATTCTGTGTTCACTGATACTTCCCTCTGACTTCACCGACTTATGAAAAGAAGTGCTGAATCAGCGGATTGAGTGAAGGAACAATCAAGATGAGATGGCTGCTGCTGATGTGACTCTCTAGGTCATTACCTTTCTTCCTGCTGCAAATGCTGCATGACACTAATCTCACAGGTAACAGCACCACAAAGCCTGTACTTTTAAGGATGCTTATTTATGACTTTCTGCATGCTTACCTATTACTGACTCAATATATGTTTTTATTGTTAAGTTAAATTCTATCCGGGCAAAGCCTAATTTCACAGTTCCACTAGAGAGCTTATGCAGTGTAAAAAGGAATGCTGTTCAAATATCAGGCAGGTAACTCTTTATCTAAAAAATGTACAAATCCATTACTTTCATTTATATTATTAAAGGTTAAGTCTTTTATTGTTTCAGATTACATGATTTTGCATCCCTAGTAAATTACACCCTGCTTCCAAAGTATGCTAAATTTTAAAAACTATTAACTATTTCAAGATTTAGTCAAGAAAGAAACTTGGCAGAATACAAAACACTTTTTAATATATACTCTAAGTTGGCCACAAAAATGTCAGAATGTGTATGGTGAAATTCTAATGCTGCAATGCTGAAACTGCTGTAGTACTGCCCTATCTCCTGCTACATTCTAATTTGCTCTCTGTGAGCTGCACTAGCTTTTTATCACAGGCTGCAGAAATTCTTTCCCTGCCTTTTTACCCCTCCTTTCCCAAATCTGAAAACTTCTTAAGGTCTTCTTTTAAATTAACTGTTTACTACCACAATAATTAAAGGCAACTATTATATCTTTTAATGATGAATGATCAAGCTAAAACCCAGTGCAAATACTTTCAGTTCAAAATTTTAAGTAAGACTTTGGACAAGGTAACTGTTCTGACAGCTGTCCTTTATATTTAAAAAAAAGAAAGAAATGAGGTAAACTCACCAAAATTAAGTATTTATATACTTCTGTTTGAATTGTATTTAATTCAAAATGTAAAATTCAGATTAGTAGCTAATGAAGACAAAGGAACGACAAAGAGGTTTTCAATTGATCATGAGTTCTTATCTGTAACCTTAAAAAAAAACAACTAACAAAAAATTCATCATCTTTAAAAATTCTGTTTAGCCTTGGCCAGTGTGGCTCAGTTGGATGGAGCATCATTCCATACACCAAAAGGTGGCAGGTTTGATTCCTGATCACTGCACATATCTAGGTTGCGGGTTGAATCCCTGATCGGGGCACCTATGGTAGGCAATTGATGTTTCTCTCTTTTTCTGTCTCTGTCTCTCTCTCTCCCTTCCTCCCCCTCTCTAAGAAATTCAATTAAAAATTTTTTTATAAAATAAATAAAAATAGAAAACTTCAGTTTGCTCTAAAAAGATCTGGTTTTTCTCACTGTCATTTCAACTTTAGGGTGAATATCAGAAGAAATACTAATTGGTTGATTGGTTAAGTTTTTAATAAGATAACTAGTCTATAAAAAAGAATCTGTACCAAATTAATTACTATCTACTTGTAGGATCTAGAAGCACACTACAAAATAAGAAGAATTTCACTCTGAAGACTCTGAAGAAATACTAGGCTGATCTTATAAATTTCTGAAACACACTCTGTAAAAACTCCACTGATTCTATAAAGCTATTGCAAAAAGGACCAAACCAGGATAAAGTACAACAGATAACTGGTCAATGTTTAGAAGTTTATGTCCACCAACAAGGAACCATAAATGAATGGCATTAATGCAATGCTTCAGGTAAATTTTTTATGAAGTTTAGTCTTTGATTGTTTCTACAAATGATCTACCATTGTTCTACTTCGGTAAGCTGAATGTTTTACTAACAAATGGGAAAACAATTCATGTTTTTACAGCTAACAACTTTGTAATACCTACTCAGAGTACATACTTCTTTATGTACCCATATGAACATACAATGCTATGGAATGTAAAGAAGTATGTATTTTTGGTAGGCAATAAACCGCCAAGAGGAAAATAAACTGCAGCTAAAAGAAGCCCTTGCTTCTTTCCATGTAAATGACCTTCATATGGTATATTAACCTAGAATCACAGAGATGACCTTTGGGAATAACAACATCATAAAATGTACCTACTGCTTATAGATGAAAACTAAATGTCACTAAGATTTATATTTTATAAAGAAAAAAGCTCTACTGAAATAGATTTAAAATTATCATGAAACTCCTTTCAAATCTTTTACATTTAAAACATAATACATTTTTAAACCTAGTACTCACATGATTAATATATTCTTTTACATGATTAATATTTGAACACCAAAAAAAAAGTATTACTAGCACAAAAGAACGAGATATACACATGATCTGTTTTCTGTTTCCACAATTTGATCTTAATTTAAGTATATCACATTAATAGGGTTGACTGATTTATTAAGAAAAGATACAACAAAAGATGATTTCATCTACATTGTAACAGCTATTCTTCATAGTTTTATAAATTTATAATTTAATGATATTAGAGAATTTTTTGAAGCAAGTTTTTGCTTTAGGTTTTCTTTTTTGAAAACTATAAACATAGTCATAATTTTAAAAGACTATATTTTAAGTAAAATCATACTCTCAAAGGAAAAAAGTTGTCTTTCTCAAGTTTATCATGTCTTTTTGCTGAGTCAGTACTGAGAATATATTAAAATGTAAGATTTATGCAAGAAAAATGACAAAATTCTGGGTCACAGCTGTAAGTCAACAGAGCACATTGGTAACAGACTGCCAAATATTTAAAAGAAATTAATTTATTATCTGTATTATCCTTGAATTTATTTTATCCAAAGGAGGCACTCAAAATAAAAACACTATAGTCAAGAAACCAATTCATACAAATAGAACAACCTTCTTTTATTTTTTTAAAATATATTTTTATAGATTTCAGAGAGAAAGGAGAGGGAGAGAGAGATAGAAACATCAATTATGAGAATCATTGATTGGCCACCTCCTGCACACCTCCCACTGGGATTGAGCCCATAACCCAGGCATGTGTCCTTGACTGGGATCGAACCTGGGACCCTTTAGTCTGCAGGCCAACACTTTATCCACTGAGCCAAACCAGGTAGGGCAGAATAGCCTTCTTTTAATGGTACTATGCAATTACAAGTCTATTTTTATAAACATCAAAGACCCACTATATACTGTATGTTAGAGATATCAAAATACTTCCATATTTTATACAAAATTTATTTTGTATTATATTTATATATTAATAAAAAGTATAAATAAGCTCTTAATTAATAAGCAGTATCTATTTTAGCTACTATGGTAGACTTACATTAAAAATATTAATATTCTAATCATTTATTATTAGAAGTATTATTTCAACTGGCATATTTAGTCATGTACAAAAGGCATAATAATATTTTTAAATTTCTGTGTCACAAATTAGTAGAATAGCTATAAGGTGACTATACTTTTCTCTGTTTAATAAGACAACTAGGTAGGTAGTTGTCAAAGTTGATTTTCACTTTATCAGATTAGAAAAAAAATGAGAGAATGAATCTATTAGATATGATGGCATATAAGTTATTGCATGTTTACTGAAAATTACAAAAAGCTCGTAATTTTAAAGTTCTGTATTTCAAAGAAAAAATAACTCAAAGCTTAACACTTAAGCATAAACCTTCTTTCTGATCATCCACAAAAAGAATGGCAATGCTTCATATTCCATTTAACTGTGCATGCCCTAAATATCAAAATCTGAAAATATACACCTCAAAAGTAGAGGTTCCTATATAAAACTATTCAAAGGGTATTACTATACCCATGTTTTATAATAACGAGTTATATTCATTATTCTATAGGTATAAAAACTTTTAATTAATTTAAATCATCCCAGTATCTAAGAATCTTATGATTATAATATTGAGTATAATCCTTAGAAAATAAAATGACAGCATCTGTTATTCATTTTAAAAAGTAAAATTATATACTGATTCTGGTGTTACAAGTTTAACTTAACATATCTAAGAGTATTTTCAATCACTCTAAAATGTCACATTCATCACTTAGGTCAGCTGTTCATTTTTAACTGAGTACATATTAAACTCTGGGCATCTGCTGACACTGGTGTAACTCAAACATTTCAACTGTCTCTCTGACAGGGATAACAGATGCTGACATTATCAAATGCTGTACTATTTTTTTCCCATGGCCTCTCCTTGCCCCGATATGGCCAGTATATGAAACTGAACTGCCATCCAAAAGCACACTTGAGCAACTGGATCTGCTAAACAGCTCCCATATAACTAGTAAAAATAGAAGCCAGTTTTACTGCTATCTTCAGCACTTAAGTCCAGGCAATTTAGCACCTGTTTCACTTCTATTAGAATAAAATATGGGAAAATTGTAGTTACATTAATTTCAACACAGCATGACACTTACTAACCAACAGATGCAGAATATACTTAATATGACAATTATTTGAATATTGCCTGAATTATTGACCTTCTCCCAGTTTAGTTCAGAACAGTAATTATTTCCTTCTCTTTATATTTCACCTAGAGCACTTACTTTTACAGGCAAACTATAATTTCTCAAACTTTTATTTTAATCAAGTATATTTCAGAAGACTTCCCTTCCTGATATTTAAATGCAACATTGAAGTTACAGTATTAACAAAAATTGCTGGACTGAGTTTTAATGGTAGATTTTAATACTCAAATTTATGGATTGTAGCCAACCACCACAATTCAATGTATTATTATTAAACTGATAATGAGGAGTAACTAGGCAATCTGTACAGAGAATTCAGTCAAGGAAATAGACTCTTAAAAAGGTTAAATTACTAATCTATGATTTGTAATACTACATAAGTAAAAAACAAAGAAAAATAAGCTGGCATGTATGGTTCCTCTCAACACAAATCCAAGTAATACACATGCAATCTATTTATAAACCAAAGGGCAGAGGTACTTTCTTAAGGTCACTCATATTCTTCCAACCTGGGTCAGCAACTTGCTATTAGTCCTCCGGTATAATACTAAAAAAAGCAGGGTGCCTTGGCTGGTGTGGCTCAGTTGGTTGGAGCAATGTCCCATACACCAGCAGGTCGCAGGTTCGATTCCCAATCAGGGTACATACCTAGGTTTTGGGTCTGATCCCCAGTCGGGGCACTTAACAGGAGGCAACCGATCAATATTTCCTTCCTTCCTTTCTTCGGTGAGAATTAAAAAAAAAAAAAAGGCAGGGGCGGCAGAAAGGTGTGATTAGCAGTACTCTTTCCTAACCTATTAGGTTACTTACTTGGTTTACTGCGTAGAGAGAAATATAAAATATTACTCTGAAATGCATAAAGATCTATTTGTTCCTTTAAATGTTATTGGTTTCAAAACACGTTATCGTCTACATTTAAAAATTAAGGTGTTAAAAACAAAAATGCACACTGATAATTCCTTAATGCATTAACAACATGTTGAAGGGTAAAGACTTCTCACTTTTAGAGCAGGAAATAGTAGGAAAAGTGCCTTCAAAATAGAAAAAGTTACATTCAATGACTAAAGAACTGATATGAGAATCTAACTTTTGTGGAAGGTCCATAACCATAATTTTACAAATAAAAAGCATTTTAACTGTTTTATAGCCCAAACTAATAGCTTTGCAATGCTTTGCTAGAGCTGGTAAAATGGAACCAAATCGCCTCTTCAATGGATTTGGTCCCCTTCAACCAGCTGTAGCTATGCATTGATTACTACAAGACAGCCAACGTTTTCACTTATGAGTATCAGACATGTCAACTAATTTCAACTTATTTAAATATTCAGATTGTGCTTTAAATTTTAAAAAAATTGTTACTCTCTATTCTTGTAAGAGCCATAGTGGTTAACAATGTTTATAAAAATCTTTATGAAAAATGTGTGGGTGATTTAAGGATTACAAATAAAATAATTTTACTTATTTACGGTCTCTTGGTATTGAATTTCTTACCCTTCAGGAAAGAAATGGTAATGAAATATAGGCTATGCTGCATAATAATAGTTTAAAAAAAGAACTTCCTTCAGAGGAAAAAAATATCTGGGAAGATCACCTGAAACCATAATAAGAATGCCACATTGTGGTTCACATGGACATATTTTAAATTAAAGAAAAATATAACATTACATAAAATAATGCACTAGAAATGTTGGGTAGTATCTTCCATAGAATTAGCATTTAATTTTACTGCTATTTACCTGAATATTGATAGATAAGGTAAAAAAGATGATGATACTGAAGAATATCTTGTGAAGAGACAAACAGTAAGTATCTTATTTTTCCAACCCTGAATCAAAAGTTCTTAATCCTCAAAAATGAAAAAAATGCTAAGCATTGCTACCTTTTACTCTATAGATATTTCATCTCTCCAAACTTGTTTCTTCAGCTGTAAAACTAATACTATTCTATGAAACTCCTCATTCCTTCTGTCTTCTTTATCCTTCAAAAAATATATATACACACACACACAACAAGCCTCTCTCTCTCAATGGAAAGAAAATGAAGAAAAAGGAAAATGACAAATGATCCAACATCCTCTAATTTTCTTACTGACTGCAATAAAACTATAGCTAACGTAATGTTCTTTAATAAAGACAAGCATTTCATCAATTAATGAAGGGTTATGGAGGGCAAGTAGTAGTTTAAAAACCTAGATGTTCTCACAATCCTCAACTCCTGAGGACTCCTCTATTTCAAAGCAAAGATCATCCCTTAAAACAGTGGTTCTCAACCTGTGGGTCGCGACCCCTTTGGGGGTCGAACAACCCTTTCACAGGGGTCACCTAAGACTATCGGAAAACACATATATAATTACATATTGTTTTTGTGATTAATCACCATGCTTTAATTATGTTCAATTTGTAACAATGAATTTGGGGGTCACCACAACATGAGGAACTGTATTAAAGGGTCGCAGCATTAGGAAGGTTGAGAACCACTGCCTTAAAAGAATGTGGGCAAAGGAAGGCATATGTAAATGAGTCTTATCACTTCATTCAAGTTAATAGGCCTTCTTCCTTGTATGAATTACACCTGTCAGTCACATTAAGTAAATTTATGTATTACAAGGCATGTAGTGTTGAGAGTAGATGCATGGACACATGAGAGAAAATGGACATACTATAAGTATAGTACCATTCGATAGTCTCTCGGCTACTTTTTATATATAGCACTCAGCATATTTAGAGTTTAACAAGAAAAGAAAATCATTAAACACAAAGATTTGG